AATTCAAATATGTGTATTTTTATTTGACTATGTGCACACGAAACGCACACTAAGCGGCTATTGTTTTTGGCAATTGTGTGTGTGTGTGTGTGTGCATGCACACCCTCTCAGCCCCCTTTTCGACTTAACCAAACCCGTTCCATGCTGTCCAGATTCGGCGACACTAAGTAAACAACAACGCAGCTGTGGTGTAGAATAGCATACCAAGCCCCTGGCCTGTTTGCGCTGCAGGCCTTTGCAAATATGCAAATATGTATGCGCCACCACCAGCACCACCACCAGCAGCTGCAGCTGCACCACCACCACCCACAGCTAAACGGCGCTTGTAGCTTGCAGTTTGCCCACAATGCGATAACATTTCGTTGGTTTCCAGCTTGGCGTCAAATGCAGATAAAACACAAAACGTTCCAAACTAGTTTGACAAAAAAAAAAGAAAAACAGCAGCAGCTACAGCAACAGCAAAGGCAACAAGAACAACAAATTTTTCGAAAAACCAAATTCATTTTCAATTAAGGACATTTCAACATATATCGACAGAGTGCAAGCTCGCCCCACAACTGACTGCTGCCTAATGCTTTTTGTGCAGTGTTCCTGGGAACAGTGGAAATATTTGAAATGCTAAATAAATTACGTATACGTACGTCTGCCAGAGCTATATACGTATGCATGCATATATGCATTACATTTGTGTGTTTTGTATTGTACGAATACATATATATGGATATAGTTTTTGGCAATTTACAGTCGCCGCTGTTGACACTCGCTGGCCATATGGCCAGAGTGTCAGAATGTGGTCAAAATGCCAATTGCAAAACAATTGCATTTTGGTTACTTTGCTGTTAAATCCGGAATTTCGATGGCAGCCAACTAACCGACATTGCGACGGGCTTCCGTTGACACTAGGGACACTCGGGCCATTTGGGGTGCCAGCTGCTTGGCTAACTGTTAAGGGGTGTGCGTTGGCCAGGTCGGCTGAGGGGCACGCTGGCTTGTCATATGTATGCACAAAGACAATAAAAAGCTAGAAGCCTGAGCTTAAAAGCAAATTATTGTAGCTCAGCTCAGCTCACACACACACGCATTGATAGTTGTGCGAGTGTGTATAAATCTCCTGCTGCATTGCGTGAATTTCATTTCGCACTCGATTTTCCTTTATATGCTTATTGTTGTTGCCACGGTTACTGTAACAGTTGTTGTTGCTGCTGCAGAGCAATGGTCAAATTTGCAGACGACAAGCATTTTTGACATATTCGCCAATGAAAAACTCGCCTAGCAACACAATAAAAAACAAAAAACCCCAAAAAGCAATTAAATTGCACACTTTAAAATGCAACAAAAAAGAATGTGTCAAACAAAATGAAAGAAGCAGCACTAAGCAACAGTATTATAAAGCAGGCAAATAAGAAGAAGCATAAAACGATACCCTGTAGTCAGATCTAAATGCACAACACTCACATACATACATATGCATGTCGTATCCTCTGAACCACAATATAGATTAAAGCTTTTGTAATTATCATCCAATATGAAATGTGAATGTTAGTTATGTAAAGATACATATATATTTATAGAAAACTATATTGATAATTACAATATTATCTCATGTGCTAAATTTTTGAAGCTACCCTTTAAAATGTAGCCTAATTTCACCAGCCTCAACATTCCTTACATTTAAAAACTTCACATTCTGTAATTTCATTAGCAATGCCAAAAATACCGCTTTTTTTAATAAACAGCGGATCGGTTTGATTTGATTTACCTAAGCGGCGAATTTTTTCCTCCCAAAGGTCAAATAATACGGCCTAGTATTAGAAGCTCCATTTAATGGACTCTTTCCGAAATTTGGCCATCTTTAAATATTCAAATATTAAAATGTTAATTTAAAGTTACCCCTATCTATAGCAGCTGTTTATGGGAATAATATTTGCATATTTTTCATAACAGCGATACGATTTTCTGTAAATCATAGCAAGAACACGAATTACATTTACTGCAAATGTGAAAAATGTTGTTTCTTATGGAAAAACCCCCATTAGCATTCACAAAATATACAACATTCGTCAAAATGGAAGAAATGTTGTTAGTGGAATTAGGCTTTCATTTAATTTGATATTCTAATAAAATAAAACAATCGATTGTACTGTGAAATATCGATGATTTATACTCAAGTAAAAATTCAAATATGTATCGTAAAGGTTTATTCCCAACAATTTCTGTTTTCATAAGAGGAACCCTTCAGGAAGGGAGAGGGTAAAAGTATATATTTCTATCGTTACATTATATTCCACAAAACTTTAAAAATTGGCATTAGAGTTTATATTTTCATCATTTACTTGAGTTGGGGGAACTATCGATAGCATAAACATTATTGAGAAACTATCCCGCTATTAATATTTTGACATCTTTAATAAAAATATATTTGAAAAAAGAAACGAACTATCGTTTCGAGTCAACCAAATTTATCACGCAGGTTAACACAAGATTAAAATTTTAATGCTGATTAGGAATATATTATCCTTTATTACCTACATACTTTTACACAAAATCAATTCACCCCTCTTGGCCACTTCGAGAGTACAGGGTATACAAAATAAAAAAGAGGTTATCGTTCACAGACGCATATGTGCCCAATTGCATATGACATGCAAATACATTTAATTTCAAAAACTATGCTAATAAAAGCAACTGCAAAACACGTTCAGTTTCTATGACTATTTGCCAAATCTGCTGTTGAGTTATTTTTGCTTTTATATTTGATTTTCTTTTTCAGAAAAATAAGCAATCGAAATGAATTTTGCAAAATTTTAAATGGATTTTTTTTCTGTAGTATTGCAATGCAATAACAGCTCGTCCATAACATTTAAATTTAGTTTGGGCGATTTAAATATTTCCCTGAAAGCTGATTTACTGACTGAATATCAAGTTTTCATCACTTTTCTTTGTACATACATATGTATGTATGTGAAAGCAAGCACAGAATTTTAAATAATAATAAAAAAAAGTATTCCTAAACATGCCCTACTTTGCGATTCTCAAAAATTAAAGATCGATTTTCAAGCTGTCGTGTTTTGATTAAACATATTAAAAATAAAAAAGTTTTTTTCTCTCTCTCTCTCTCTCTCTCTCTCTCTCTCTATTACTATCTCTATCTCTCTCTTTCAAATTACATTCTTTTGTTTTCCCAAGATTTGTGTCTGTGTGTGTTATCTGAGTGATTATAAAGATCCTTTTCGCTCCTTCAAATAGATGACGAAAATTAGGAATCTGCAGTGCTTGGTATTTGCGTACTAGGAATATCGAGAGGTACCTAAGAGTTCCCAAAGTAGCAGACATAATCCGTCCCATCCCGCTAGCAATTCGCTTTGCTTCTACTGGAAGGATAAGAAGAATAAGGTGCCCCAATACTGGAGCTTGGCTCTCTAGGGCAAGAAAGAGAACACTCAAACAGTGCCATCTACTGAATCTACCTGACAGGATTCTCTAAACCAAAACTTATAGTAACACTTTGATATAATCGACGTAATTAAAAAGTTTTCGCATTAGAGTCTTAACTTTGTACATCTTAGCCTGAATAGCAGTAAGCCTTGTTACATATTTTTCCCTTACACTTAACTAGCTTAAGCTATTAATTAATCCAATAGTAATCTTGTTAATTATAAAAAGTATATACATTTTTACAAAAAAATAATAGCTATAATTTCTTAACATCTTAAAAAATAATCACATCAATTTCAACTGAATGTAAATATAAAATAATATGGAAATGTATTTTTCTCAGTAGAGCTTGAGTATACAAGAAAAGTCTTATATTAACATCGAGCCTTAACGACTGCTTTAAGAAGATTCCGATGTCCGTGCTCAGATAATGCTTCAGCTGCAATCAACAACAATGAGTGGGCAGATCAATTGTAAAGGAAAGAAGAGGCATAGCTTCGCATACGCAACTAATGCAGCATGTAGAAAATTACAGCGAAATGATGCGCAAAATATTTTAACACAAAATGATAAATATTCCGAAGCATCAGCTCAATAAGTAGGACAACATATCCGTGCGCTCTGTGAGGACGTGCTTCTCTCTGGCAACTGCTATGGCAGCAATACACGCGGGTATCATAGGAGCGCACACACACACACACACACACATGTTGGCAGTTAAAAGCGGCAACAAAAGAAATCGCACACATTTCAACGTTTTGAATTTGTAAAAGGATATTTTTCACATTATAATAAGAAATGAGGCTGAGGACGCGCGCCGCATGTTATGACCATGCCCCTGCCCCAGCCATAGCTATGCGGCTTTTCCCCTGCAGGTACACTTAGAAAAAATGTTCGCTAAATTTAGGTGAATCTCCATAAAATTAACATTTTTCCAAATATATTTCGTTTTAAAGAAACTTTTCATATTAAGAAAATATGACACGAAAATATACATTTTTAGAAAATATTTTTCTTAAATTACAAGAAGACACATTTTTCATAAACTTAGTGCTGTTTTCGCTGCGTGTACACCCGCTGGCAGGCACTTTAAAATGCAGAACAGCTGAAAAATCATATAAACACAAATAATAAAATCGACAATTTGGCAAGAGGCGCACGCACATCTACATCTATATATGATATCCTTGTATCCATTTGAGTGTGTGTATGCGTGTGTTTGTGTGTGCGTGAGATGTGCGTGTGCGTGTGTATGTGCGCTATGAGCACATAACTGCAAATGTACTGGCAACAAAACGTGCGGCGATTTTCTAACAAGTCCAACAACACCAATGAAAATTCTGAAAGGAAAAAGGGTTAATTTAACCCACCCATCTCCAAGCCCCACCCCACTAAAAGATAGAATGCAAAAGATTCTTCTTGGAAACTTGCCGACTCGACGCGCATGACCTTAGCTACTCGAAAAAATTGATATAACTCAGGTAATCTAAGACTTTAAAGTGGAACTAATAGAATTAGTAGAACTTAGAAGCTAAGACGGTGCCAACAGTTTAGTGTGAAGATTGGCACAGAAAACAATCCAAAATGTTTTCTATAATAATTTTGATGGCTTTCAATTTAATGCTCTTTGCAAGATCTGAGCAAGCGGAAAGAGAGCTTGTCAGGCCAAGAATTTATGGAGGCCAGGAAAAGACCATCGAACAGCTTGGCGGCTACGCCGCTCAGATTTACCTGGGGTATAGGTTGGTATGCGGCGGCGGCCTACTCAGCGCCCGTTATGTTCTCAGTTCGGCACACTGTTTCGAAGCAGCGGCTTATCAAAAATATCACGTAATCGCCGGCCAGACAGCGCCAAGAAATTATTTCGCAACAGAGAGCACGAAAAATTTAGTGCTTATGTTGAAGATACATCCGGAATATCAGAAAACCAAGTTCGTAGCGGACATCGCCGTGGTGGCGGTAAGTGCACCCCTTTGGGGACCCAATGTGCACTACTTGCCCCTCTGCTCGGCAAAGCCATCAGTAGGCAATGTGGCCACAGTGTCTGGCTGGGGCAACAGCGAATATTCCCTGCAGTACAATCCGCTACGTGTTATGGAGGTGCCTCTCATCTCTGACAGCGAATGCAACCAGAAGATGGAACGCCAGATGCCCGACAATGTGCTCTGCGCCGCCGGCTACAACGGGCGCACAGTCTGCAGAGGCGACTCCGGCGGGCCACTGGTCATCAATGGCGAACTGTGTGGCATCAACACATGGACGTGGGAGTGCGGCAACAACGAGATGCCCGATGTCTACATGAGCGCCTACTTTTATCGGGACTTCATAAAAGCGACAATGGCGACAATGTACACTTAACCAAAATCTAAATGGAGAACGGAACTCTTGAATTTTGGAACAATTCTAATTCGGATAATGTTGACCTCAAATATTTTATAATAAATGATTTTTTTAAAGTTTCATTTAAATTTGGGGTTTTCATAAAATCAATAATTAACTGTATTTTTATTATATGTGTACATGTTTACCAAAACCGGGATTTTTTCAAATGAATTTTCTTAAATATCTTTACAAATCAGCCCACACCCGAAACTTCGGGGCTCATTTAAGAAGAATGGATTTTACGAAAAGTGTGAAATACATATCAGATAAATGTTCACAAAGTTTGTTGGAAATGATCGGATAGTAAACAAATAACTTTTAATCAACCGTTATCCGATTTTTTCAGATCGAATTTCCATAGACGCTTAAGCAACCGCATTTTTCACCAAGGACGCTTTGATTCTACAAAAAGGGTGAGTTTTGGTAAACCAGATCTTCGATCCACATTTCTACCGAGGAAGAATGGATTTTCCGAAAAAGTGAGACACCCGTCAAATGAAATCGAACAAAAATCTGTGAAAATGATTTTGGATCGGATATTAAACAAAAATTGTTTCATACAAACGTTTTTCCCGAATTTCCCACTCTTGCGGGTGGAATTTCCCAAAACCGAAAATAGTAAAACCGCTCCTACTTTGGTTTGGGCTGTGCGTTGATCATCAATCTGTCAGTCAGTCTGTCATCCAGTCAGTCATTCAGTCAGTCGTTCAGTCAGTCAGTCAGAAAAAAAATTTGTATATATATGGAGATAATTTTACAAATATGTTAAGAGTAAAGGTAATAAATATAATAATAGTTAACTTAGATATTTTCTGAATGAACTTTATAAAATATTATTTTAATAAGAAGGTGAAATGTATATACCTCTTAAAGTTAAAGTTTTTGATTATTGCACAGCGTAGTATAACAAATATATTTAAGCACTTAAAGCATATCCAACCAATTTTGTGTGTCACTCAAGATTCAATAAAACAAATTCTATCTTTGTCAAACATTTTCAAACAGAACCCCGCTCAAAATGCAGCCTATTCCGGTGATATTAAGTCTATTGATCGCGCCGATTATTGCAACGACTGAGCTAACCGATAAGCATCTTGTCAAGGCCAGGGTATTTTCGGGTCAAGAAACCAGCATTCAGGAGCTGGGTGGCTATGCAGTGCAGATCTACAAGGGCAGTAAAATGATATGCACTGGCAGCCTCCTAACCAAATTTCACATTCTAACTGCGGCTCATTGCTTCGAAAATTCGGACTATACGAAATTTCACGTGATCGCCGGTCGAACAAACTCAGAAATATTTTTCTACCCTAATGAGATCATAAACTTCGTAGTCAAGCTAAAGATGCATCCGAGCTACAATAAGTTGAGGTACATCGCCGACATTGCCGTGATAAAGGTTAAAAACGCTATCAGAACTCCAGAAGTTAGCTATGTGCCCCTCTGCACACGGAAAATGTCAGCCGGACTTGAAGCCACCGTGTCTGGCTGGGGCGCTAGCGAGTTTACCAGGACCAAAAACTCGCTCCGAGCAATAACGGTGCCCCTCATTTCTAAAGCGGAATGCAACCAGAAGCTGGGCCGCAAAATGCCACGCAACGTGTTCTGCGCCGGCGGCTACAACGGTCGCACGATCTGCAACGGAGACTCCGGCGGACCGCTGGTCATCCGGGGCGAACTGTGCGGCGTCAGCGTATGGACATATGAATGTGGTAACAAGTTGATGCCCGATGTCTATATGAGTGTGAACTTTTATCGAAACTTTATCAATGAAACTATTGCGGAAATGGGCGACTAGCTAAAAACTCCATAGGAACTCATACTATCAACAATTCTTGTGTATTTCGATTTCGTGTTTGAGTTAGAAGAAAGGAAGAAAGACAAAAAAAAAGTGATCTCAATAAAGTCAAAATATGTATGGATAAGGAATTGAACATTAATAAATTTCAATAATGACATTTAAGTTTCTTTATCATATTTCCTAAAACTATCTCTTGGGGTCGTTCAATATGGATTTACTTACGAGTGCTAATGTGTGCCGAAGATGTTGTTCCTTGCATATAAGGATTTGGCCTCCCGTAATGTACTACATGCCTTACATTCTTGGTGTTTAGTTAATCTTTTACATCTAGACTGTACCAAATGACTTTCTATAGAAACTCCCCCCAAAACCCCCGTACCGGTAATCAAATTAATGATCGAGGTGTCATCCTTGATCATAAACTCATCAACTCCAAGGAATTTATTGGTCCGTACACAACAAAGAACCTTTCTGTATATCAAGTACGACCCATTGTAATGTCTAATCGCCACAGTATTCAATAAATCAAGACAGAAAAAAACAATTCTTGTTGCCGTCATACTCTAATAGTGCCTTGAATATTAATCTTCCCTCTTTAGTTATCAGAGAATTATGTTTGGTGTAACTTAACGTAGGTTAACACGTAATTATACACCTCTATCCCTATCTTAAATGTTGTCGAACTAAATATGCCTTTCATGAACCATTCCGAGTCCTCTGTGATGGTTACAACAAGCATTACATAGTATTCTGATCGGTGTCTTTCCTCATTCATGCATTGATTCTTTCAGTTCACCAACATTGTGTGTAGATTATTCATTTGCAGCAATCTGATTCCGAACTCCTCACGCTTAATGCGCCCAAATGCTAGACTACACATTCTCTTTCGCATTTACAGCTCTCTGCTCTCTTTTCGCTGCTCTTTTATTCACTATCGCTCTCGAGCGTTAATTCTTCCCAATCGTTCCAAAGAGTATCATTTGTTGAAATCCCTTTCTCTATGCGTAGTCTTCCAATGCGCAGTCATGCATTTAAAACGTGGGAGAGTGGCAGTGAGAGAGAGAGCGGAAAAGAGCGCACTACGCTGCTGCATCGAAAGGAGAAAGGCAGAAGACGAAAACAAGTAACAACAAAACCACAAGAGCAATGAAAATGCCACAAACCTGCCGGCACCGCGCTACGATTCCAGGCAGTTTTTATGTATATACATACATATTTCATTATTGGTGTTGTTGTTGTTGTGCTTGTTGCTGCTGTTAGTTTGCAGCTTGTCCGCACACTTTCTGTCGTCTGGCTGAGCGTTTTATCAGCTGCCTCTACAATTTTACAAATTGTCTCTCTCTCTCTCTCTCTTTGCCATTGCCTCTCCAACGCGTGGAATGCCAAGGCGCAACTAATGCTGACGCAGCCCGCAGCCCGCTGCCCTGTTGCGCCAACCCCTCCCCTTGACCATTGTTCAACGCCCAACGCAAACCCACTCTCGGGGTTCGCTCAGTATTTGTAGCTGTGGCCGTTTTTAGTGCACGTTGGAATCTTGACGCGAGCGCGACGATCGCTCATAGTGTAACCCGCAACCAAAGCGATTCGAATAGCTAAAACCCCGTTTCCCTCGCTTTTTTGCCTGCGATTGTGTTTGTGCGGGCGTGTTAGTTTGTGTGTGTCATAGTCTGCGCATACATACATACATATCTATCGATTTGTGTTGATAAGTTGTCGGTTAGACAGAGAAGCAACTTAATAAACATCTACCTGACCTTTACCAAAGTCTCAGAGCGCCTAACAATATGAGGGAAATTGTGCACTTGCAGGTCGGCCAATGCGGCAATCAAATTGGTTCAAAGGTGCGTATAATCAATATTCCATTAGTGTGCTAGTTTGGACGCCCCTTCTGTTCAATTATTCAGATTTTTTCACTGTATTCCTAACCTCACATCTTAAATTATAAAACAGAATGAAATAAACGCGCTCTGCGCTTTCCACGCTCAATCTCTGTCGCTCTGCTGCCGCTCCCTCTCTCTCTCTCTCTCTCTCTCTCTCTCTTTCTTTCAGTCGCTCGCTCTCTGTGCGTGCTCTCATTTATTGTTTTGCTGCTTTGCCGCATATTGTTTTGCCGGGGTTGGGGCAGACAACAAGCGGTTGCTCTCTCAGTTCGAGAAACTATAGAACTGCAAAGCGGCAACACATACATAAACTGACTCAGCCGACCGTTCTAGAAGTTTTAATTCGCGCTGATTTATCTTATCATGCTAATGATATCAGCGGGCAGGCAGCTGAATGTATTTTGAAGCATTGCACTCCCCCCATAGATCATTTTCAAAAACGTAACATAAACCCAGTGTGCACTCAGACAAAATGTTATGACAGGCGTTTAAAATTGGTTTTTACTGTTTGTTTTTGGCCGGCGATTAGTTCCAAGTAGAGACATATTGACACTTCTAGAAGAAGCACCAAAAACACATGTAAAGCTGTTGTTGATCTTGAACTTTCTGGTGTGAGTAATGGATACAGCGCTTGAATGTATTTCGAAACTTTCGTGAAGGTCTTGTTGGGGCTGTGCTGCTCATATACTGTTTCACGGCTCACACAGTTTGGGTAATTAATGCTAGGGTAAGCTTTCTTTTAAGTGCCCTCTACACATGACTAAATTTACCTGCTGGTTTTTATGATTTTGCGTTACATTACACAGCGGTTGCCTTAGAAAATGCCAGATAATTGGGAACGATTAGGAAATGTAGCACTGCCGTACATACATACATACATACATATGTATGTACATGCATAATTAATGCGGCACAAACAGAATTGTGTATCTTGTAGCTGTTGTATCTATAAGTTTGATAGCTCCCCTCGCCTCTCGACGCTCCCATAGGCTATGACGTGTCTACCTGCTTGGCTACAAGTTCTTATCAGCATTTTGCTATTAGTTAGCCAACACTTGGCCCCACAGCTCGCCTCCCCTAGCCGAGCACCTAGCTAACTAACTACTTGCTAATGCATGAGCTTGTATGTGTGTAATCAGTATGCTTGTTTACAGAAACTTTGAACATAGATAAGTAGAAGTCATAAATGGTTGACAGTTCGTATCGCTAGCATAGCCAAAAATAGGCATTACATATGGCAAAGGCTATTCGCTTGTTTCGCCTGAAGTGTGACACACGCTGGCTGACAGAAGCTGGCCACTTTTTCACTTAACCCCGCATGCTGGCTGCCAATTAAAGGCATACCCAAACAAAAATGGAGAAACAAAAAAAGAAACTGATGAGGCGCAGCCCCAAAGCGCAACTCGGTGCCCATTCTAAGCTAATTTAGCGCATTAATGTTCACTCGCACAATTTACCCCATCATGAAAATCCAGAAACAGCCGCAACAACAACAGAAACAACAACAACGTCAATGAAGTCGTTGACGTTTGACACAGTTTTCTTTTTTCTCGTTGCTGTTTGTTGTGTCTTGTCTTGCTGTGTGTTTCTTCGTTTCCCAGCGCAGTTTTCTCCACACATTAGCCCATCTGCATATTTCGCTTCGTTTCGTTTCGTTTCTGCTTTTTGCCGGCTCTTTACACGCTTTTCCACTTCAATTTTATGTAAACATATTTTCTAAGCCTTTTTTTTTTTTGGTCCGCATCCTACCAAGCTAATTAGGCCGCACTTTGCAATGACAAAGCCATGGCCTATCCCATCAGGTTTTTCATGTGCCCATTTCTCCTTTGTTTTACGCCAGCACAATTTAAAGTTTACTTAAATAAATACATAATTTATAAAATCTGACAATTCGGCGGCTATGCCTCATATATCGATATAAAAACTGTTGTTTCATTAAATTTGCCTATAATAATATTGAGCACAATTTCGCTTCGGACATTATTTACATATAAATTTAAATTTGGTTCATTCTCACTGCGATATAATATTTTGTAATTTAATTGAATGTCAATTTCTGATTAATTGGCTGTCCGTGTGAGTTATTGTTTGTGCGCTAAAATAAATAAATAATAAATATGCAAAACTGCGTGCGTGGCGAAAAATAAGCTCACAAAATAGACAAATTTGTGTCCAGCAGCAGCAAATTGTAGTTATATGTATATATATACATACAAATATTGTATATAATATATGTTTAAATATGCTTTTATGTTAAAAATCAATCGCTGTACAGATAATAAAACAACAGAAAATATACTAAAAATTATGGGGCTTTCAAAGCAGTGTTTCTTTTTTTTTGTACAATTATAACAAATTTGTCATTAGTTTTCAAATTCATAAATCAATAAAAGAGATAACAGAATAAATAAAAGCTCGCAAATGGGCTTACAAAATTATGCAAGGCTTTTAACGTTTAATGTTTTTTAAATACATTTTTTTCTTGTAGCTGATTGAGTATCTATATAAGTATCTAAATAAATACTCTAGTATCTGTAATGACACTCTAATTTAAATGACAAAAACATCAAAAAATGTTGTGAAATGGATGAGATAAACATCAAATGGATGTAGCTGATTCAACATACCTTAACTAAAACTTTTAAAATCGCAGAACAAATTACCCAAGTCTTCAAATAACTCTCCATTTTCGTAACCAATTTCTGGAAGAAACATAGCTCTCGATTAAAAGTTCATTGATAATTAATCTTATTCCAGCTGCACAGTATGTTTTACAATAACAGGCATTCTCTGTTAATCTGTTTTCCGTAGCTAAGTTTTTAAGTTCTGGGCTAATGAGTATGCTAAATGTGAGCAACTGCCGTGTTTACTTTATCTCGGAAACTTCAACAAAGTGATTATCACATTTTCATTGAAATCGCTGTTGCTAACTGAAGTCATATTTTTTTTTTTTTACATTACTTTCTCCCTGGTTTGAGGCAAATCTCAACAAACAGCTTTGCCGCACGATGAGGTAGCTAGGCAGTTGCGAGCCCACGTCACATATCTTTTCTCTTTTTTTTTATAACCTACCCAAATAAAACCTTATTAAAGCTTCTCTCTCATTCAGGGCCAAGTTTTTAAGAATTTTTGAAGCTTTCTCCAGTCCGCATTTAATAAGTACATTAGCTTCTTTTCCACTCTGGAATGTACTACATCAGCCCCCAACGAAAAGAATATTATTTTAGACGCTTTTGTGCTTTAATTTTGCAATATGGCCTTAAGACTTCAATGGCTGTTGTTTAGACGCTGAAATTGATCACACATGCGGGCAAGGATGTATACTTGGTTATGGGGCAGACGGCAACATGCATGCCAGGATATTTCATAAAGGCCTGCAGCGAGCTCTTCTTTCATTATTTACATAAACCTAATTTTCCCTAAATCATTTTGTGAACAATAACAGGGAAAATCTATTTACGGCCCCCTCTAAAAGAAAACAGTAAAGAAACGACGACAGCGAGTAAGCATAAAGCCAAAGAAATGGATATGAAAAAACGTGAAAAAGTGGAAAAGTGAGGAGAAAATTTATAGACAAGTGCAGCGTTGTCGTATTTCAGGCAACAACAAAGCTAAATGCCAAAACGCAAGCAACAGACAATAAAATTAAAGAGTTTGCAAAGCCAACGAAAGCCAAAGGATCCAACGTGGCCTGCACTGCATGCAAATGCCTGAAATTCATGTGTGTGGTGGGTGGGTGTGTGTGTGTCAGAGTGTGTGTGTGTGTATGTGTGTATGTGTGTGCCCGCCTTAGGATACATTTATTTAGCTTATAATGGCAGGGCATCATCGCAGCGCCAAAATAATGCACAAAATTGAATTATCGATAACGTTGGCAACTATCGCAGCTATAATTTCTTTATGGTTACACGTTGTTACATGCATAAAGTGGGCGCTGTGGGCGGCATGGGCGGGGCTGCCACATGCTGTGGCATGTGGCTCATGTTTCTAGCTGGCTGGCAGCCCGAGAGGTACTCGTTGCTAATGCGCCTGGCAATATGCAAATGCAATTTCGATATGGTACTTGCCATGAATTTTATCTGTCGGTGTTTGTTTGATGGTGGAAATAACAACAAGCATTTCATAACTTAGTTGTGGCACATTATAGTTGGCTGGAGCAAGTGGATAACCTGATGAAATGCATGCATGCTTTCAAATATCCAGGCAAGCAAATCAACAGGCACTCAAGCATGCTTGAAAGGACTACGTAGAAAATCAACACGAAGCTGACTTCAGCGTGCTTCACCTACTTTAAAATCAACAAGATAAACTGCTTTCAGACGCGATACTCTTTATGCACTCTTTGCTAATTGTAATCCCTTCATAAATTATAGGACTTTGGAAGAAATTTAGGATTTTCAATCAAAAAATTGAAAAGTAATAATTGGTCAAAGGAAAACCTTAAATACACCTGAGTGGTGTCTAGTTTTCTAATATGCTTTTCCAACATTTCTTTTTTAGAATATAAGAATAAGATAATTATATTTGAAAATAATAACAAATATACTAGCAATTGCAAATAAAAATGATATACTTTGAAGAAATTGAGCTATATTTACATAAATCTATAATTATATTTATATATTTATATGAATTAAAAAAAAATTCAAAACAAACCATTTACAATAGACATGCAAGGAAAGCATTTCAATATGTTTGTTTTGTACTTTATCTCTGTTTAACTTAACGCAACTCAAACTTCATAAGAGTAGTATGTCAGGTACTCTGGACAGAAAAAGCTGTTGCATTGTGTACAAGACTCATTACTCGATATATATTTGTATGTTCTGTTTAGTACGACAAGGCAAGTATTCAAGCAACCCTCGTTAAAATAAAAATAATAAGTTGAATAAAACATAAAAAGTAACAAAATATATACAGTGAATACATGTTTTTGAAAAAAATTGTTCAATTTACATTAT